ATTACATGGTTAAAAATTCTAACATGTTAAAAGAGCCACACTTCTTTTTATCAAATTAGATGACACAAAAATAAGAAAAATTTTCAACATTATTTCATATAATATATATGTATATATATAATATTTTTATAGTTCAGTATTGACTGATCACACTAGAGAAGCTTTAAACTCGTTGCATTATCATCATTAAAAGTAAATTAATAATAACGAGTTACAACATGAAAAAATAATTTTTATATGCTTCTCCTATAAATTAAATATATGTCAAATAAAATTAAGATATTTTTAATTAATTAATTAATTTTAAAGTGAAATAATAATAACAAAGCTTAGTATTACGATTTTGTAATAAATGCATTTTTAAATCAGTAACTATAAGTACAAGCACAATCACTTTTTATTTGAGCATTTGAAGCAATAGATAAATATCAAAAAGTTTTATATATGCAACTTCTTTTTGTAGCATATCTTTATCATAACATTAATTTTTTTAATGACAATATTTACTTATAAATAACAAATATTTTTAATTTCACAAAGTTCAAACATACTTGCAATTCGTTGTCTCATAGAATATCCATCAAAACAAAAATTGATTTATAATTTGTCAAATATTTTCTATTAAGAGACTTTAATTATATTATTTTATTTTAACAATTATGAAATGAATATTTGAAGTATTATCAAACATAACAAGAATAATAATTATAATATTCTTCCCAAGTACATTATACAATATGTAATTTGTTATTTTTACAAAATTCACGTGCTTAAAACAGTTCTATTTGCATACTTTTAGCACGTATTTATATAAGATCAAGATTATTATTTATTTTCATGCTTATTTCATAACATAATTATAGCAGTTACTTAATTTGTTTATACTCAATTACAATAATTGTTTTATTATCTGATTGGACGTGAGCTGTTTCATGTGCAAATACAGTCTTTCTACAGATATTATTTAAATTAATTGTGCTTGAAATATAAATAAATAATTAAATATTTACATTATTTTTTTCATTATAAAGTGCATATTGTAATTGTAAATGTAGAATTATATATTTTTTTGTATTGTTAGAATAATTCATATCATAATGATATGCAAAATGCTAATAATATAACAAAAATTAAATTATAATTTAATGAAGTTAAAGTTTATAGTTTATCGAAATATGAAATAAAAAATTTAGAAAAATCTATGTAGGCTATAATATAACTACAAACATTGAAATTCTAATATTAACATTTTTAGAATGAAACTTAAATCTATGATACCTGATTACTGGATGGAGTATGAAATGTATAATATGTGTGTGTGCATATATATATATAATATATAATATTATATATGTTATATAATATATATATAATATATATATATTATATAAAGCTATTTAAAAAAGAGTACTTAGCAAGAGTGCCTTATGCATATTATTACATTTTCTTTTCATATGTAGATGTTATTTTATAAATTAGCTTAGAAAATGTAAAAGCTGCTATATTTACATTCTATTATAATTAATATTATTTTAATTAATATCGCAGAATATCGTTTTTGTTATATTTTTCATTTTCTTAAGTTAAGTTTTTTCTTCTTTTCTTTTTAAATGTTGATATATTTCAGTATAGTGTTCAGTTATTTTAAAGTTTTATAAAGTTCAACTAATTCTTAAAAATCATAGACTTACGTCACCATATTCAAAACTCCATTTTTCATAAGCAGCCAAACTTGCAGGAGATACTGATCTACGAATTCTTTTAAGCGAATCACGAAAATCTTGCATTGTAATATTACGTACAGAATTAAGATCCAATTCTTTTACTTGATCTGGATTAAGTTCTGTACAAGATTTAATACATTTTTTATGAACATTAAAAATAGAACATTTTTTATTTAATTAATAATGATTTATTTATTTGTTAGACTGTCTGGTCAAAATCTTTATGTCCATTCAGTCATATTAAATAAAAACAAAAGAAAATATGTATAGAAAATTTATGAAATTTTATCTTACCTCTAATAGGACCAAGAGCTGCATCTTTTGCTAAACCTGTTAAATCACTCCCAGAATAGCCTTCAGTTAAAACTGCCATTTCATTCAACTCTTCTGAAGTCAGCGGATCATTATGTTTAGCTAAAAGTCGTTTTAGTAACATAATTCTTGTTCGTAAATCAGGTAATGTAACGTATACTCGTTTTGTGAATCTTCTTAATGCAGCTTCATCCAATTCTTGAGGTCTATTTGTAGCTGCCATGACCAATACTCTTTCTTCTGGATTACATGGTAATCCATCAAATTCAACTAAAAATTCTGTCTTCAATCGCCTAAATAAGAATTGTCAATTAAATAAATAATAATTGCAAATATTTATCAATTTATATAAATATCAAAAGCTATATTAAAATCTACCTAGAAGCTTCATGTTCATTATCTCTACGTTCGCTTAACAATGAATCCACTTCGTCAATAAAGATCACAGATGGCTGTAGTTCTCGGGCAATAGAAAAAAGAGCTCGTACTAGTTTTTCTCCTTCTCCGACATATTTTGATGTAAGACTAGCAGCAGATATTGAAAAAAATGTAGCATTGCATTGTGTAGCAACAGCACGTGCAAGTAATGTCTTTCCATTTCCTGGTGGACCAAATAATAATAATCCTCTTGCTGGTGTTCGCAAACCAGTAAATAATTCTGGTCTTAATGAAGGTAAAATAACCATTTCTTGTAGTGCTTGTTTTGCAGTCTATTTCATTAAAAAAAAGAAAATGTAAGCTTATTATCATATATATCATATTATATATTCTTGTTTTTATTTAATAATATAGGTATAATATTTACATACTTCTTGACCAGCAATGTCTTCCCAGTGAACTGCTGTTCCACCTTCCAAAATTTCATCTAGAATAACTTGTGCCAGTTTTGGATCTACACCTTTTAAAATGGGTACTTTTCTTGTAGGTGTTCCTCTATTGCTGTTTGATGTGGTAGGTGTTCCTGGTCTCCTAATAGGTGAACCATTTCCAGGTACTGATAATTGTCTTTTTACTGAAGGTGGTGTAGATGATGGTTTAATAGGTGCAACTCTATGACATGATTGTATTGCTGTTGAACGTCCCATGCTGCGCGGCAATGTTTGACTTTTACTTATAACTGTGCCCACTCTTTTTCCAGGAACAGATAATTTTCTTCCAGATGCTATAAAAACATAAAATAAATAAGACACAAAAAAATAAATTTTAGAATAATTTAAAAATGAAGCTATTATAATACTTTTGAATACAAATTCTTATCATATCTATTACGTAGAACTATTAGAAAAAATAACAATACAAGACAAATGTTTTGCAATAAAAGATATAATTGTTAACATAATTCAAGTTAATATAAAAAGAATGAAATATATTTATTAAGACAGTATGCATGTGATATGTATTTGTATGTCTAAAATGTTAAAAGCATACTTAATATTTCATATGTATAAAACATTTCATTTGTTAAAAAATTATATATACTATTAAACTAATGATATTTAAATACTATATAAAATACTATATAAAAATAATAAAACAAATATGAATATATTTTTCTAGAATAAAAATATAAGAAATAATTTTTGAAACTATACTAATTTTTTAACAAAACTTTAATTTTTTATATAAAGCACACATTCATGCATACAAACTAATCTTTTTTTTCTTATTCATTCATTGCTTCATATATATATATATATGTATATATATACACACATGTACACAGTATCATATGTGTATATGAATATTCTTTTATTTATACTTATATATAAATAATTCTATATTTTTAAATTACTTACTTAAATAAATATATCATACTGCTAAGAACAACTACATCAATGATAAAAAAAATATACATATTAACATGCATGCATTTACTACTTTGCATTACATCAAAAACTAATATAAATGCATGTGTTAATAATGAAATAGAAATAACTGTTTAAAAAAGCAATTAACAAATTTACACTCAAAATCTGCATTGTAAGCCCAAAACTTCAGACAAACAGTACCTTCAGAATGGGCAGAATAATTTTTTGGTGAACGTGGCCTTAACTTGGGAATTTGAGTACATGTATTCTGCCCTATGTTCACTGTTTGTGTACTGTTTGTGTTTTTAGTATGATTTGTATTTAAAGAAGATCGAGTTGTTTGTAATGTGTGTATATTGCGTCGGATCCTCAGATTCTTTCCTGGATGTTCGCTGTCCACTTTATTTCCAGGAGCACGATATTCATTGCAGATATCCAGTTTTTTCAGCTCACACACACTCACTACAAAAAGGAAAAACATTCTCTGCCATGCTGCAGTAGGCTAAATAGCTAAATACAGTTTGAACCCATAATTTTGATAATTTTTATCCAAATTGTAAATTATATATATATAAAACTAGTCTTTAAATTTGAGATGAATGCTTGAATGGCCATTAGAAATGCTACTATATGAAGTTTGGCTACTAGTTAATACATAAAAATTTGCATCGCTTATGAAAAAAAAAATATTGTGCCAAAAAATAAAACCATTAAAGAAAGGAAAAACGCGCGCATGCATACATGTACAGGTACATTCACACATTAATACTTTCATCAAACACACACCCAGATACATACATACGCGTGAACATTATAGAACAATTAACACATGAGCATGCTAAACATTAATAGTGTTACTCCTTAAGCTGTATTATAATTTAATTTAATAATTTATAATTATAAGTAAAGTTTAGATAACAGCTTAAGAAATGTTATATACTTAAAATATATGTTTACAAACCAAGAAAATCAAGTCTGTCCTTTGCCATTGCTAAATTAGTGCGCATTTTATCATGAAGTCTTTGTGCATGTTCCCATACTTCTCCTCGACCACCAGTGCATTCTATAGCTATTCCTTTTTCTAATTCTCCAATTCCTTTCTTGTAAAGTTCAATTGCCATTTCTTTCTGACCTATTGATTAATTATAATTATAAAAATGATATATTAAAAGAATAAAAAATTATACAATATAATTCAAATATAATTTTTTATATTACATAATTTTATAATATCATACCTTCATTATCTTCATCAATTTTAAGAGCTTTGCTGATAAACTCAAAAGCTCTACGATGATGATGTTTTTGTTTTGCAAGTAATGGATCTCCTGGACCAGGACCAATTGGCCTTCTAGGCACTTGCGACATTCCCTCGTTTTCAATTTGTTCAGTATTATTTAAATTATTATTTAAATTTTCACTAGATTTCTGACCAACTACAATTTCTAGCTGACAAGTTTGCTTGCAAGCTTGTCTTCGTTGAATCAGCTGAGATGTAGATGTATATAAATATTTGAATACCACAAATAATTGATAAAGAAGTGTCCTCAGAACATTAAAAAGCAATATCAAAGGAAAAGAAACAATATAGAGATTACGTTTGTGTACTGATGGCTGAGGGGCGTCGAGAAAGCGATGATTATGATGGTAATGATTGTGGTGATGATTATTGCAGTTAATGGTAGTTGTTGTTTTATCACTATTTTCATTCTTGGTCACGCAAAGTTTTTTCGGCGACTTAGTGCCGTACTTTCGTATTGGACGCCCGCCATCACTGTAAGACATTTCCTATCGCAAATTTTTGAATTCCTATAGTACCAAGTACACTTATTATCACCAAATACAAATTGAACTAAACATTCTGACATTCCCAACGTTGTGTAAATGTTGAAAATGAAAACTTGTTTTAGTTCATCTTTTTAAAAAATATTTTCGAAATTCAACAATTAAGTTTTTTTAAAAATAATTGCACAAAAACAATTGTTTTTACTGACAAAGAAGATGAAAGAAAAAAACGATAAGATTCAGAATTTTGAAATGTTTGCAATTGATAAATCATAAATAAAATACAATGATTTGTAATTTTCTTCAGCATCGCTTGTTTTGATTCACATTTAACTTGAAACATGAATATATAACATGGATTTACAAACATCAACAAACATTGTTTTACAAAATCGCGTATACAAAAATATATACATAGAAAAACTTATATTATGTGCACCTTACTATTTACTTCATTTAGTATATATTCTAAGTACACGAGATAGATTACTTTATGCACTTGCGCCCTTTATTATATTCCCTTGCACATGCGTATATATATTTAAGATATCTTTACTGTTTTCTTCACAATTTTAAATTTTATATTTCATTTTTTTGTTCATTAATTATTTTATTTGTTAAGAATTAAAATGTATTCAATAAGTAAATAATAAAGATTTTTATATTTAATAATACAATTTATTTAAGAATATCATTCATTAAATATAAATTATATGACTTATAATATAATAAAAGTATATATAGCATTACAAATTGATAATTTTAAAAAGATTTTCTGTCAATATTTAAAAATATAAAATTATAAAAAACAACATTTATATATTTATTATATTTCCCGGCACAGTTATTACCGATGAATGTTAAATTAGTTTATTACTTTATCACCTATATCATATTAGTTCATAAATATACTACAGAGAGTCTCTCCTAGCATTCTGCCGCCATTTTCTTCATCAGTTCTGCGTTTTACATTCCAGAGATTGCATCGAGGCAAGATGTCGTCCGCAAGTGGTGATGAAAGTGAGATCGCTTTAAATGAACCCGGTAAGAAGATGATATTTATGAAAGAAACTGTATTTAACATGACATAATATTGATTTTCATTTATATTTATATACAGTTGTATAAAATGAAATAAAATATTAATAAACCCGGTAGTAAAGACCTGCAAACCGCCATTAAACGAATGGCGTCTCACATACGCATGTAACGTAATATCTTATTCAAATTTTGCATTTTTTTTTTATATTTTGATTCTTTTCAGTACGACGTACGAGATCTAGTCGTACACGAAAGACTACCGTGGTAGCAAAGAAATCTCCTGTAAAAAAACTTCTAGCGAGGGCAACACGTTCTCCGAAAAAAGTGCAAGAAATCGAAGAGGTCGAGGTGCGTAAATTCTATAGTACTATAAGTTGTTCTCGTAATCATTAAGATTCGTATTCAATATTTTATTTAATAAGAAATAATTTGTTATAATTTTTCAGGAAGAGGAACCTATATTACAAGAAGAAGTGGTAATGGAAAGCATTCCTGAGAATGGAGTGCAAAGATTTGGTGATATTATAATTGAACAGCATAATGAAGATGATTCCTCTATGTTACATTTAGAATTAGAAGATTCTGGTGATACCACTATTCATGAAATCAATATGAATCAAAGTGTACAAATAGGAATCCAAGAAACTGTACCTGATTTAGAAACATCTGCTTCTCAAATTGTAAATAAAATATATTTCTTTCTTTTAAATTTAATATGTTTGAATTATATTTTAAAATATTTTTATTTTAGGATCATTCTACTATAGTATCAGATCCTATGATTATAGAAGAAAGTAGTATGGATAAAGTTGATATGTTAAATGAACGTGAACAAATGGATATGGAAGGACAAGATATTAGTAATGATGAAACAAATCAACGTGTATTAATAGATTTTCAAGAAGTTATGAATGATGATGGAGAAACAATAACACAAGTGACAGAAATCCTAGAAACAGAAGAAATTGAATCTGAAACTGTTATAAATGAAAGTACTGGAATTGAAGTTGTAGAAGTAGATTGTCATCAAGAAACATCGGAAAGTATAGAAAATGTTATAGAAAAAACTGTGCCTGATTATGATATGACAGAAATGATGGAAATATCAGAAACAACAGAAACTGACATGGAATGTTTGTCTGAGAATGTTATAAAAAAACAGAACCTGATACAGAAGCTGTATCTGAAGATGAACTGCCTACTGAAGCTGCCACAAAGGTATTTTATTATTAAAGAAGTAAGATTAAAAACTTATAATATTTTGTATGTGAGTGTGTGCTTGCACATGTATTTATAATTTATATAATATTTTATTTTTAATATTTAGGAACCTGAAACAGAAGCTGTATCTGATGAAGAATTACCAGTAGCAGCCCCAGCAGATTTAGGAGAAACTGAATCAGTTTCTGAAGATGAATTACCATTAGATAGTGAAAAAAAGAAGAAAGGTGGAACAAAGCTAATGAATAAAATCACAGAAAAGAAGAATAAAACGGAAGGCACAAGTAAGAAAAAAAAATTTATTTAAATTTTTAAAATTGTTATATTTCGGTCTTTTTATTTTCTATTATATTTGTTTTCAGATAAACGTAAATTAAATGCAGAAGGAGAGTATGATCCTAGTTCACCAACATCTGAAAATAATGATGAAACACCAGCAAAAAAGGTAGCACTTTCAACAGAAACAGATCCAGGGGATAATAAGCAGGAAACTAAACCAGCATCGCCAAAGAAAAAAACGTTACCAGAATTAGAAAAATATTGGAAAGCTGTTAATGAAGATCCATCAGATTTCACAGGATGGACTTATCTTCTTCAATATGTTGATCAAGAAGTAAGTTGAAAAGCAACAATACTATAAAAATTATACTTAATATATGATTTATTTGTCATGTAGAATGATGCAGAGGCTGCACGTGAGGCTTATACCAAATTTTTGGATCGTTATCCATATTGCTATGGTTACTGGAGAAAATTTGCTGATTACGAGAAGAAGAAGGGCAACCCCGATAATGTCCAAAGGGTGAGTCAATTCGTTTACCATATTTATTAGATCTATTTCTTATTATGATATCATTTAATTAACGCAATCTAATGAAAATAGCTCGAGTTAGGAAGACGCGTGGGCAGTGTGCACGCACGTAAATATGGTTTTCCCTTCCAACAGCCTAGCACGTCTTGCGGCACCTATACGACTCTCTCCGTTTACCAAATAGCTAGTTACTTAATTATTCTGCGATATCTACAATATTATTGCGTATATTACTGTTTTACTTATACCGTTATATCGATATTCTACATACGATACGTAAGTCAAGCGAAGGCTAGTTGTTTCAATTTGCGATATTACCGTGCAAGAAATTGTGTATAATATTTACTGTAAGCATTTGTACACATAGCTTACTACAGAAAGTATTGTAACTTAAGCATAAGATGCGGTACCTTACTTAATGTAAGTAAGATTGGGTTGGGTGTTAAATCAAAGTCAGAAACAAAGACTTAGGACGTGAACATGCCAGAGAGGGAGCAAGAAAATGTGGCGGAAGACACAGAGGCACCCAGATCGGAACACTCCTTGACTTTAAGGTGAATGCACAATGCTCTGCAATCTCTGTGTTAATTAAATCTCTTTATTTACAGTACGCGTATGATATGTGAGTATACGTTGCTAAAAAACCGTAATGCTTATCGAAAGCTTAAAAAAAAAATAAAAAAAAACAAAAAAATAGGTATAAGTCTACCCGCCACCAGCCCAATCACTTGTAAACTATTCTAAATGTGATTGCAAACCATTACTACAGGTATTCGACCAAGGTTTGAAAGCTATTTCGCTCAGTGTCGACCTTTGGCTTCATTACATCAACCACTGCAAAACTGTCTATGAAAAAGATGAAGAAAAACTTCGAGAACAATATGAAAAAGCTATTCAGGCATGTGGTCTTGAATTCAGGTGCGAAATATCTTTGATTTTTTATGCACATATTTATGTAATATTTATAACAGATATGTATTTTTTCATTTAGATCTGATCGTCTTTGGGAAAGTTATATAAAATGGGAATTAGAAGGCAAACGTCTAAGCAGAGTAACAGCATTATATGATCGTTTATTATGTACTCCAACACTTGGTTATATTTCTCATTTTGATGCATTTCAAGAATTTGTTTCTTCAAATTTACCAAATCGTATTTTAAATGTTGACGATTTTCTTGCATTACGTGCTGAAGTAAAAGCACTTTTGAAATCGGATGACACTACTTCTACTTCAGCAGCTGATGATGCGCCACCTGGTGAAGAACCACCACCACATGAACTTCCCCCAACTGATGAAGAAACCCGTGCTATTAGAGAAAAAATTATTAGTAGTAGACGTAAAATGCATAAAGCTAATATTAATGCAGTTGCTGCAAGATGGTCATATGAAGAAGGTGTAAGTACATCATATATTTAATGAGATATTTATTATTTAATATTTAATCTTTACTTACAGATTAAAAGACCATATTTCCATGTCAAACCTTTAGAACGATGTCAGTTGAAAAATTGGAAAGAATATTTAGATTTTGAAATTGAACAAAAAGATCAAAATCGAATAATCATCTTGTTTGAAAGATGTTTAATAGCATGCGCTTTATATGATGAATTTTGGATGAGAGTAAGATTTTTCTTATTTTTTTTTTATTCAAAAATATTTCTATATTTAATATTTAAATATTTTTTAATTATTTTATAGTTTGTTCGTTATTTGGAGTCCTTGAAAGGCGATAATGTGGAAAAAATAAGAGATGTATATACTAGAGCTTGTACAGTGCATCATCCAAAGAAACCAAATTTACATTTGCAGTGGGCTACATTTGAAGAAGGTCAGGGTAATTTTGAAAAAGCAGCAAACATTTTGGAAAATATTGATAATGTAATACCAAACATGTTACAAGTGGCATATCGAAGAATAAATTTAGAACGTAGAAGAGGAGATTTAGATAAAGCTTGTACATTGTATGAAAATTATATTAGCAATAGTAAGAATAGAACTATCGCAAATAATATTGTAGTAAAGTATGCAAGATTTTTGTGTAAAGTAAAAAATGATGTGGATAAAGCAATTAAAGTATTATTGAAGGTATGATCATATTGATCTTTACAATACATTTTATA